GAAACTGCAGTTTAAGAACAGGCTTTAGTATCAAGAGTATGCATTATCTAGTTGTTTCAGCATTGGGCTATAACTCTGGAGACCAAGGTTCAATTCCCTGCTAAGCCATTGAAACCCACTGATTGACGCTGGGCAAGTTGGACATTCTCAGCCTCAGAAAACCCTGTAATAGGTTCACTTTAGGGTTGCTACAAGTTGCAAAGGACTTGAAAGCACACCAGAGCAACAAGATTTAGAATTCTTAGCCAGAGAGCTGTAGTATCTCATCATGATACAAAGCCCAAAATGCCATAGGATATAACCATAGCAGTTAAAGGCCAATTATACTGTCATAAATGTATTGCAGAAGGAATCCTGGTCTTCCCTTGTACAATTGTATTTAGTACAGCATTTATTCAATAATGATGTTGGTTACATTGTTTGAAAAAATCTCCTAACTACTGAATTTAACTTCCTCTCTTACAGTTTCAGTTAAGCCGTCATCTGTTTTTCAGGGCCCTTTTAAAATCTAGGTAAAGTTGGAGTAGCTTACTAGGATATTATAACATTAGGAGAAAAGATCTAACTTTATTGTCTGGGAAGCAGTGTTTGTAATTCTAAAACTAATGGCTTGGTTTATAGACCAGCTGTACTGCAGTTTTGTGTTTGCCAAGCCCACAGCAATAGACATTAACAGATTTTTTAAATTTGTAAGAATATATATAGAGAGAGAGGGGGGGGGGCTTGTAGCACAGTCGGTTAAACAGTGAGCTGCTGAACTTGCTGACCAAATGGTTGGCGGTTCGAATCTGGGGAGTGGGGTGAACTCCTGCTGTTAGCCCAGCTTCTGCCAACCTAGCAGTTCAAAAACATGCAAGTGTGAGTAGATCAATAGGTACCACTTCTGTGGGAAGGTAACAGCACTCCATGTAGTCATGCTGGCCATGTGACTTTGGAGGTGTCTATGGACAACCGGCTCTTCAGCTTAGAAATAGAGATGAGCACCAGCACTCCAGAGTTGGACATGACTAGATTTAATGTCAAGGGGAAACCTTTACCTTTAAAATACATAACTCTGATGTGTATGAAATTTCAGGTTTCCATGGTTTGGTTTAACTATAGTATCTCATCTATGCTGTGCCCTATACATTAAAAGCCAAATGATTTCTCTCGCTTTTTTAGTATACACGCGGAACTCTTCTTCTTCATGGGAAATCTACAGGAGGGGTTCTGCCATCTGAATCTTCTTGAAAAATTACATGTGTAGATTAGCACTTCTTTAGCTGAACATCCATCCCCAGATTTCTCTTCCAATAGGAAACCAACACACTGGAAAAATAATTATAGTGTTACTTTTCCTGCTAGTCTTCCACCTGAAAAGCTGACATGGAAGTAGTCTAACTTTTCCCCTCTTCATTGTTTAAAATCATGTATTCCTATGAGATCTATGCCACACAGACTATCTCTTCAGCTCTATCTGGCACCTGTATATAAAAACAACATTCTAGCTGTACCTTGTACAGTTTTCCCAAGGAGGAAATCTCATAGACCTCTTAGTTGGGAGTAAACCATATACATTAACCATCTTCTGCTGAGCTATTCTGGCAACATTTTCTCTCTCTTTAAAACACGCAGTTGTACTTAAAAAGATATAAAGGAATCTTGTACCACCTTTGATACTGTGACAAAGACATTTCTAGCAAAAGCTTTCATGAATTCTTTATCAGATGCAAAAACTGGAGTTCACAAAAGCTTATTGAAACTGGTCTCGAAAAGGATGCAATTTTCCTTTGTATCTTTTAACGCCAGAATATGGCAATATCTTTGAATGCCGTCTTATTGCATATCTAAAGACAACGGTTCACATACTAGATGAAACTAGTGAGTATGATTCATAGCTGCCTAAATACCATAGATGTACCAGACTCACTCTGATTAGGAAGCTAAACAGGGTACTTGGATGGGCGACTGACAAAGACTATCAAATACAGGTAGTTCCCAAGTTACAAACAAGATAGGTTCTGTAGGTTTGTTCTTAAGTTGAATTTGTATGGAAGTCAGAATGGGCACATTTTTAAGTGTAACTCCAGGTAAAGTTAACACCCAGTGGTGCTTGTTTTGCTATCTGTGCCCCTGTTCAGGAGATTTCACCTCACTTTCTGTCCCTGTGATAATTAGACTTGGCTTTCTGTGGAAACAAGGGTTTGTGATAAAAGGTTAGATTTCTCTGGCTTCCTGTTTTCTCACTCCCCTTCTTAACTATGAGTTGGATGTGTGTACCTTGGGGACTGCCTTACCTATAGGATGAATTTCAGAGGAAGGAACTCACAAAACCACCTCTAAGTATTCCTTGCTTAAGAAAACCCTATGAAATTAATGGTACCACCATTTCAGCAGGTTATGCAAAGGAACATTTTGCACATGATTAGCAATAAATTCTGACTCCTGATGTCAAAAGTTCCAGCCAGCATGGTCAATCATAATGAACTATGAGTATTTCACCTGATAAACCAATAGTTCCTCATCCTTGGATTAGGGTAGCTGCTTTTACCATCTACTAGATAAAACTCATATCCGAATACTCATGACAAATAGCAAACATAAAAGATGGGAAGGACGGCATTCAAGAAAGCTAACAACACAAAGTTAAATATCTGGTGTCTTCCTGAGCAAAACAGAAAAGGACAAGAAATGTTACTTCCATGAACTTCCTTAAGGTTACTTATTTTAGGATCTAAGCCAATGTTCTAGAGATGGCTGGGTGCTGTTAATATCCTCCTGAAGTTATCCTAAAAGTGCATATGTGCTGAGCAGGGACACACACAACTTTTCCCAGAGACTATAACCTCAAGAGGAAGGATTAGGTGGATCAACTAGTGGTATATACAAACCGATAGGACGTCTCCAAAGTATCAGCTGAGACACAGTAAATATTACTTAAGAAATAGCCCCACATCACCCAGACCACAATGTTAAAAGGATCCGCGCAGATAATAGCAGATGTTATGCAGGATATCTGGAGCATGTGCAGCCTTCCAAATAATGTTGTATTGCAATGCCCACCATGTATTGATTCATTACCTATTTGTCCTTATTTATTTTTACTAAAATCAGAAGGGAGGACATAGAATGACTAAAAATATCACCAATATGCATTAGCCTATAAATCCACAATAAATATAAAAGAACCTCACAACCTCTGAGGATGCCTGCCATAGATGCAGGCAAAATGTCAGGAGAGAATGCCTCTAGAACATGGCCATATAGCCAGAAAAAACCTACAACAACCCAATGATTCCGGCCATGAAAGCCTTCAACAATACAATATAAAAGCAATTTAGAAGGTCGGCTCAAAGAAATGCCATTTCACACACTTCTTGAAAGGAGTAAGAATAGGAATAATTATGAAATACGTTCCAGTTTGGAAATGAAGTAGGAGAAAACATTTTTCGGCATTTCTGTCAAGGTGATAAACTCTCTCTGGGAACTGCTGATATTTGCTGCAATCCAGAATGCATCTAGAAGGCCAGCATTTCCCACCTGTACAATCAAATAGTTTTGTGGTAACACACCCATATACTCCAGACAAGACTAGTTCATAACTAGCTTTGAACCCAACTAGAAATTGATGTACTTTAGAAAACACCCCTACTACATAGATAGATTAAAAGTCAGTAGTGTGCCATACATTCCAAAGACGACACAGGAAGTACGTCATACGTCTTAAATTATTTCCACCACTTATGCAATGGAACTGTTTCTTCTTTCTTTTTCTGAGATGCCCGAGCTCACATCATTGTGGGAGGATTGAAATATAATTTTGGAACCAGCTGTTGTACTTTATCCAGAATCCACAACTGTATGACCATGCTGACTAGGAGATGCAAATAGCCAAAAGAGTTATATTTTTTGTTGGTGAAACATTTCTACTTTCTGTTGAATGTCTGATGAACTTCAATGCCACAGTCAGTGTTATTAGAAATCTAGGAAATTTTCCTGACACTGTCCAGGTTGATGTAATGATTTGCCTTATGATCTGAATTAATTTGGGGGGGAGGGACCTGGTGTCACATACAATCTTTAAAATATTTAATGCCAAAAAATATGGCAAATGAACCAAAACCAGCAGCTTTATTGGCTGCCCAAAACCAATTTGTTGATTCATTCCAAATATACATAGACATTTGGAATACCAGCGTTCAGTATATCACAGTTGGCCAAAATATTCATTGTAAAGAGTAAAAAGATATAGACTACCAGAATCCTAGATCAGTTACTTAGTTTACATCTGTATAAATACTTAGCAGCTCCTGTCCCAACATCTTTCCACCCGAGATAACTTTAAGAGAAAGATACTGGATCTGGTGAAGGAGATCTGTTCATCTTCCAATCAGGTCACAAGAAGGATGTTTCTGCTCCCACTCCTGACAACAAACCAGCCTGGTGCTCTAAATGGAAACTGAATGGCCCCTCTTTTGCCCACCAAAAAAAGGCCTATTAATGTGCACTGGCTGACATTTAGGTAGGTTTCCGGTAAAACTAAAAACAGACCAGTTACAGGGTTGGTGTGAGTTTTCCAGGCTGTATGGCCATGTTCCAGAAGCATTCTCTTCTAACATTTCGCTCACATCTATGGCAGGCATCCACAGAGGTTGTGAGGTCTGTTGGAAACTAGGCAAGTGAGGTTTATATATTTGTGAAATGTCCAGGGTGGGAGAAAGAACTCTTGTCTGCTTGAGGCAAGTGTGAATGTTGCAACTGGCCACTTTGATTAGCACTGAATGCCCTTGCAGCTTCAAAACCTGGCTGCTTGCTGCCTGGGGAATCCTTTGTTGGGAAGTGTTAGCTGGTAGCTAACTGGTAGCCCAGAAAACTGACAGCAACCCAATGATTCCGGCCATGAAAGCCCTTGACAATACATTAGACCAGTTACAAATTCATAAGCACTGACTATGAATCTGCAATACTGAATACCAGCCAAAGTGCTGTGGGAAACAGGCTGAATTAGTTGACACATCATGTCCAAACCTTATTGTGGTCTTTATTAGAGAACATATTCTGTGATTCTGTTGACAGTATGATCAAGCATATGCATTTGTGCATTATGACAGTGAAACATTTTAAATTACAATATACTTGAAATAGTAATATTAGCTACAACCCAGTGGTATTTAACTGTGGGATGCTCCAGTGTGTGTATGGCACCATTACTTCAACACTAGCTTTTCCCTTCAGTGTCAGGAGCTGTTCAGTCTATCCTTCATTCTTCCAGAGCACCATTCTAGACTCAGAAGTGAATTGTGTCAACCTTTCTTTCATAGGGGTGGGTTGTATTTTTTACTGCTCAAGTAATAAAATATTCAGTCAATTTTATCTTCAGCTTTCACTGGTTGCTCATTTGCTGTTTCAAAGAAACTCCAGCAAAAAATGAAAACCAATCAACTTTATATAATTTATGAGAAGTACACATTATAGAAAAAATGCGTTGCTTATGGAAACAGTTCTCATATGTCAGTCACAGATGCTGGAGCAAAGATTTTAAAATTCAAAAGCACAAACGGCCTATGCAAAGACCAGAAATCTAAACAGGAGAAAATTTATGTTCCAAACAGATACAGTATCTTTAAAAACAACAACAACTGACATGGTGCCATGCAACAGACTCCCCCCCCCCCCCATTTTCAGTGTTATATTGAAAAGAGAAATAACATCTGGCCTAAGAGGCCAATCAGAGGCTACATTTTGCATTTGAACTTGTCCTTTTCTGAATCAGATATGAACTCTTTTGTTTTACTTCAGCAGCACAAAAAGGTAGAAGGAAAAGAGTACTGGCATAACTGTAGTAGTCTTCTAAATGTACATACCACTGCACCTTCTAAGATTTCAAAGTATTCCAGGCATAGAATTTAGTTGTAGTTCATTATTGTCTTCCATACTGCAGATGGAGGAACTAAAGCTGAGAAGAGTAGTTTACCTGAGGCCACCTGGTGAGGTTCATAACATAGGCAAGACTCGAACCGAGGACTGCCTAATGTTGTAATTCAGCCACTATGTTACATCAGCATATGATACATTTAAATATCATTAAGTGCCAATGGGACATAACATTCCTGAGCATAAATCACAGCCATCCAAAAGCTGCTGCTGTACGAAAAGAAGGGTTGATTTTAGCTTTTAAATTTGCTAATCAAGAAATGATAGAGATGACACCTCTGAAGGCATTCCCTCTTTCAATGGGCAAGCACCCTTGGCTTGCTTAGAGAATGTTAAAATCTAAGTTTGCATTTTAAAGAAATTAAATCCAGTGAAATTTCATGAGTAGCTGAACATCCCATTTGTTTCCTTCATGTTACAGGTGTGCTGGTATCCCGTTGCCATCTGAGCCCTAATCTCTTAGTTACGGATTTTGAAATCAGGAACCTGTGGTAAGAGAGAACAAACAGAAAAGCATCACTATTTTCCTGCAAATTGCTTGACTTTTCAGGGAGCTGAGACTGTGTAAGTTTTTAGTTGCTTTTCTTCAGTGATATTGATAGAAGAGCAATGCAACAGATTCTACTGAATGTCTAGAATAGTGGGGATGTTTGTAAACAAGTGTTTCATTGGCACATTTCTAGTAAGTCTCTCATTGGACCATTAAATTTGCATGATATTATTTATGGCGGGACATTACATGCATGCAATTTTAGGTGCTTATGCATATTAATCTATAATGTAATCCCTCCCTATCTGTGGATTCCTTTCCCAGTTAGCGTCATGGTAGCCAGTGGGTGCAACATAGCTAGTCCCTGTTGCTCATCCCTTGAAGTGACGTCTCTGTGGATAAGGGGGGGACTGCTGTAATGTAAAAGGACCCTGAAAAAGACCTCTGCTCAACACTCTGGACAGTCACAGTTATTGACAACTGAAACACCACAGTGAGCCAAATAGCTTGGACTTGTTCTAAAGGCATATTCCTATTCTACCTAGCAGAACACATTATTCCACCTTACGAACATTTCTCTGAACATAAACTGTTCTGGCTCAGCTTACCTATCCAAATGTATCTCCTTCTATGAGCCAGCTAGGAGGTTAAAATAGTCTGGGGAGGCCCTGGTCTCGGTCCCACATCCTTCTCAGATGTGCTTGGTGGGGACAAGAAACAGGGCCTTCTCAGTGGTGGTCCCTCAGTTATGGAACTTCCTCCCTAATGAAATTAGATCAGCCCCCTCCCCCCTGATCTTCAGGAAAAGGCTAAAGGCATGGATGTGGGATCAAGCGTTCCATTAGTAACCCACTAGAGAACTATGGAATAGTGCAACTTGGAATGGCCATGGACTATGATTTCGGATAATGTGATTTTAAATAGTGTTTTGAAGTTTGATAGGTTGGTTTTTAATGATCATTTTAATATATCTGTTTATATTACTATATATGTATGTTTATGTGGCATCGAATCGTTGCCTATATATGTAAGCTGCCTTGAGTACCCTACAGGGTTGAGAAAGGCAGGGCATAAATAGGGCAAATAAATAAATAAATATTCATCTTTTGGACATATGGGGGAGTCCTATGAGTAAGCTGAAATTTGAGATTTTGTATGGAGAAGTCTTGTTATCTCCACGCGAGTTGGTTGGAGCTGAAAAGGCACAATGGTCTCTAGAGTATTGGTTATGAGAATCCCCCTCATGATGCTGGATTACAAATCCTTACAGCTCAACCTGCACTGCCAATGTTGAGGGGTTCAGGAATTACAACTGAACAACATCTAAAAGACCCTCATCATTCCTGTCCCTGTTTTAGGGTCTTCTTTAGAAATGCCCCATTCAATTTCTGTGACCATTTTGGATGAGATATTACATAAAAGTTGTCAGCTGCACTATTTCCAAAGCTTTTTCACACATATATTTCTAGTAAAAACAGAGGCACTTGGACCCTAGCCTAAGCACCAGCAAAATGAAAGCAAAGTGTGCGCACATACACCAACCATATTTCATAGAATGCCTATAAGCTGTAATGAACTTCAGTATTCAATGCTCATCAGGAGTATAAATTTCTGAAACACCAGTGAAGCTAAAAATGGCCCAAGTGGTGAAAACACTTTCCTCACACTGACGGGCAATGAACTATGAAGTGACTTACTGCTGCCTTCAGAGCTTGGGCCAGATCTTCCAGTAAGTCTTCCGAGTCTTCTAAACCAATAGACATGCGAATTAACGTGTCAGTGATTCCAAGGCTTTCCCTGTCTGCCTTAGGAACTGAAGCGTGAGTCATGATGGCACTGAAAAAGAACAGATAGTCCAGGCTTTGAGATTCATAAACAGAAAGCAATGAACCAGAAAGTACAGGAAATATAACAATTTAAAATAAAATTAATGTAACAAGAGGTGAGGCAAAGTCACACCCTGAACTGCAGATTGAGTTCATGGAAGTCCAATATTAATCTGCAGGAAAAAAAATTTAATGGATTCACTTTTAACATGCAAATCTCTGATTCCAATAAAACATGATCTGACACATTGGATGATATTTTCAAACTATTGTTTAGAATCAATCCTTTTCAGTCAATTGCTGTTTTGAACCAAAACTCTCAGAATTCCCAAATCAACATGGCTTTGGACATATTAGACAGGAGAGTCTGTTAACATAATTCCAGTTAAAGTTGTTGATCTAAACTCTGCTTGAAATTCATATATTCTGGGGAAGGCTAAGGAATTACCATTCCTCTATCAAGGTATTTCGAGACTGCAGCGAAGCCTGCAATACTGTATGGAGAACAGAACCCATATCAAAGAGAGCAACCTACACGTTCAGGTAAAAGAGTGAATGTGAGAAGATGAGTGAGGGAGTGGATGCTGGTTGTAAATGGCATTCCTAACAAGATAATTTCAACCAACAATGAAGCAAGCTCCCTTCCCTTTAAATTTACTGGAGTTCAAATCTCTACAAAGTGATTCAGGTTTTCAGTTCTGTTCGGCAACATAATCAAATTAAATCTATGTGAACTTTTTAATGAGCGGACAATGGATATATGAGATACATGGAGGAAAAACCATTCTCAATAAATGTTGTGTTTTTCCTTTTCTGTGGCAGACAAAATCTAGTCTGAGGCTCCTCTAACTTACAGGCATGTAATTTTTAAGACAAATTTGAAAGTATTTATGTGCTGCTTCTACTTTTCCACTGTGTCTACAGTTAAAAGCACTTGATGTACACCAAATGCAGCTGGGTTTTCTGCAGCAAATATGCCCCCCTGTGTACATAAACCAAACAGCAGACCAGAGTCACATTGGCAAGACTGCAATGAATGTGTTGATAACTGTCTCCGTGTTCATTAGTATACACTACTTAAATAGCTGATGTTTTTAACTGAACTCATTCTAACAGAGATTTCAAATAAACATTACTTACGGATGCTCTGCTAAACTTTCATAGCCTCCCAGACTTTCAGCCAAGGCAAAAAGCTAGAGAAAAGAATTCAGAATATTATTTTTCAACAAACTTTCATTCCATTTTTCATACCATTTAGTCCTAGGCAAAATTAGATAGGTAATTAAACCCTTTGAAATCAGTAAACAAATATACCTAGCTCTGCTTTCTCTCAGATGGGAAGAGAAATTATTTTAGCAGTGAAGAAAAAGCACACCACAACAAACTAATTACAGATCTAATTGGTTTGAAGAGAAACGACCCCAAATCCCCAGTTTGGAAGTTACTATATACCACAATTGGAGAAGTTACAGTTTGTTGACAGTGATGAAAGCAATAGTTCGTGATTTACAACTAGCAGAGCAGCCAAGTGAAAATAAGTGGTCATCAAGGACTAGTGTGCTTGCTGAATATCAAGCCCAAATTTTTTGGAACACAGGCAAACTTTGACAGAGATATTAATACTGGTGGACCAATGAGCCCCATGCCATTAGAATGGTGAATTTATTCAGGGGCTTTAGCTTGAACTTTAAAACAGTGCTGGGCCCTATCTCTCCAATGAGTTCAGCATCTGAATAGCTCCCTTCAAATTTCAGACTAAAATCTCAAATGGATTTGCATGGCTACTGACATAGGAGCTATCAGCTATTTAGAAAACAATTAAAAACAGCTCAATCATGAAATTTAGGCCATGAAACTAAAGCATACATGCCAATTCTCTTCTGGCTATCAGAGAAATGAATTTTATGCATGACAAGGAAATAAATCATGCATGGAGAAAACAGGGCTTTTGTCACCAGACTAGGGGAAAAAAGATTTACTTCTCAAGGCTGCCATTTCTCCGCTGGAGGATGAAACTGCAGTGGTAGGATGTCCTCTCCAGTGCTTTTACTTCTTTCCTCCTATTGTGAAATCCTACTGACCACAGGCAACTGACTAGGAAAACACAACATTGTGGCAGGCAACTAACAATAAGGGCAAAAGGATGAATTTGGATAGTAGATAGCAATGCTTAGCCATCATTTGAGGATGATAAACTGACACTGTCTCAATGATTTTAAATTATGAATCTGAAATTATGTATGTTAAATTACTAGTTGTTTTAATATGTATTGACAATGTATGCTCTGTTTAAACTGATGTTTTCACCGGTGTATGTGTTATGTGTTATTAACAGATGACATGTGTTGCATTTTAATATATTGTTATTCCCTGCCTTGATCTATGTGGTAAGGAGGATAAGAAATAAATATTGTTGTTGTTGATATATCTATTAGACAACAAACTGCTGCTGCTGCTATTACTAAAACTGTTTCTTAGGAAAGAGTTTACTAGAAATGGTCTTTGAATTTCTTTTGATTTCTTTTCTATTTCTTTAGCTGGCAGAATGTGCCTTGAAAGTGCTGTTCCTACTATTACAGGCTCCAAGCTCAATTGAAAATGTGAGCGAAGACCTATTAAGATATAGGCTCAGAAACCTAGGAGACAAACTTCATTTACTGGTCCATCAAATCCAACAGATAGATTAGGAACAGCCTTTAGATTTAAAAAATTCATGTCAAGATCAAGAGGGCATGGGTAAGCAGAAAGGGATGGGCATGCTCTGGAGCCCAAAGGCAGTGCCAATCCATCTTCAGCTCTGCTGGAGCTCTGAAAGTCTGCACAAGAACTTTTTGCAGCTGCCATTTTTGATTGCACTAGGGAGGTTTTTTCACTGTTTCAGAGTAGATGTGCACCTCAACCATAAACACTACCTTACAACCCTGTAAAAGCATGTCTCACATTTTGTGTGTCTGTGGGAAGGAGTTTAATTGAGAAGAAACATTGTAGAGATGCTGGGGCCTTTGAGGGATTGATGGCAGATCCTAATGGTGGATCCTTGCCTAATGGGTGCATGCAGTCCAAGGGCTACACATTCCCCAACCTTGCTATGCATAACATATGTTCCCTTTCAGGAAATTCCTTTCCACAAGACCAATTTTTCTCAACCTTTTTACACTGGAGAATTCTTTGAACTAAGGCTTAGTCTCCGGGAATCCCTGCATAAAATGATTATATATGCAGCTCAAAAAAGACAAAACAAACATAAAATCTTTTTCTTTCACAAGTTGGTGGAACTTTTGGTAACTTTTTGCAGAATCAGGAAAAGAAAGGTTGAGAAAACCTGCCCTTCTCTCTCTCTCCTCTCCTGGTTGAATTTATTACCCCAGTGGGGCGTACAGGGAAAGTAGATTCACATATCTCATCCCTGTCCAAGCATGCCCTTGGTACCAGCTTGAATTCTGTTTCAATTAGAATAAATGGCATTAGCAGAAATGGTAATTTACCAATTTAGCATGAACTCAGTGGGGATTATTCTAGCTGGGATTAACAATAGGATTTAGTCTACCGTTACTAAATTGGTTTTCCTGTGGCCAGGGACAGAATGAGTACAAGATGGAAATCTCATTATTATTACAAAAAGTAATACAGCCTAGTATTTGGGGAGAAGTGGAATATTAGGTAGAATACATACAATCCCAGCTTTATTATTATTATTACTATCATCATCATCATCATCATCATCACCATCATCATCATCTTTATTTATATCCTGCCTTTATCCCCATGGAGACTTAAGGTGGCTAACAACCACATAATAAAAGAAAAAAATGAAACTAAGCAAATGCAAAAATTAAAAGGCAATTAAATATTGGTGTGAGGATATACCGTTAAAAATACAATAAAATATGATTAAAATTACATTTAAAATGTGCACACACCCCCAATCCCACCCATAACCTCCCCAACAGCATGCCCCTCATCCTTCCTCAAATGCTTGCTGGCACAGCAATGTTTTTACCTGCTTGTGGTATGTTTTATGGAAGCTATCCAGAATGACCATTACAGAACAGGAAGAGCTCTTTGCTCATTTTTCCAAGTTAATTTGGTTGCCAGCCATTGGGGAAGTGACTGTATACCTGTATTTAGGGGAGAATACTTTTCGAGTGATATGTGTTCATGAAGAAATGATTGGACAGAATTTGCTTGACTCAAAGCATTTGGGATACAAACATCATGTCTCTGTTGCATCAGCAAAACTAACCTCGCTTTCAAAACTCTGTTTATAATTGTGGCGGAAGATGAGCTGGCAGCTGGCATGGGGTGGCATTACCTAGCTCATATTGGTTAGATAAGCAGTAACTGCTTGAATAACTAGTTCATTTTAATTTGGATACACCCTTTTCCTTCCTTCCCATTACTGCCATCTCTCACTACCATGTGGGTGATTAACTTTTTGAGACTTCTCACCATGCCTTTCAACACCATGATATGTCCCACAAGCTGGAAGCTGCATCTAGATCATGGTTAGGTCACAAGGTGGTGCTATTCTTCTTTATAGAGGAAATGTGTCTGCTTCAAAGCTCTTTACCTTTAAGTTTTTGAGAAATGTGGAGGCGTTCACAAGATTTCCTTTAATGTAAAACGAAATCATCCCTGGGCAGCCTGTGCACTGGCGTTTCACCACCTCAAACTGCGGGTGTGACGGCAAGCCTGAAATGAGTCACGCGTTACACAAACAACTTAAAGTTTTTATTATTTTAAAACCTACGCTGAATAGCCCTTTGGGAGCCACCTCGATGACTACTAAGGTTCAAACTAAAGAGGTTCCAAAGTAATAACTATCACGCAGAGAGATGGAGGCATATGAAATTTTAATGTTGCCATTTGTAGCACATACACAGTCCATTTCAGGGCCAAGAGAAGACTTTTTTTTTGCAATGGGAAGTCAATTTTGTACTTGGCCTTTACCGACCCTTAACCAACTGTAGAGGGTGAGTATTGGGAGGTGTTAATATGGCAGATTTGCCCTGGTGCAGAAATGGATATTATTCTGGAGAAAAAGAAGAAGAAATCAGAAAGCTCTTTTTTTAAAAAAACGTTTCTAGGGTTTCTAAGACCTAAGAGGGAAACATGTGAAATATGTGCTACTTTATGCATGCACAAAAATAATGAGAATTTAGAATACAGTACCTGGAATGAATGGTTGTGACAACAGTAAGGATATTATATGTGGAATAGATTATGGGATTGGAAAGCTCATGGAGGTAAAGGCAATGCAAATGATAACTAGTGTGTGTTGCATCTGCTCTTAATCAGCCATTAGTCGAACTAAGCTTCTGGCGCTAAACTGGGAGAGTTCACTTAAAAGCATAAACATCTACATAATTTATGCATGAGTCTAAACATTTTAGACAAAAAGATCAAACAAATCCAAAAGTCAATGTAAATATTGTTCCTTAACTCTTATCAAAAATGGGAACTATTTGAAAGTTGAAGTCTGTTTCAAGAAAAATTAAAGGAGGCACTGGCTCTATTTTCTCCATTGTGGCATTGCTTATACCCTTTTTGAATGCCTGGGCAGGAAATTTACAGCAGCAGGAAACTCTGGCCCTGAGGTGGCATTGGTGCTTTTCTCTTGCCATCAAATGACTTTCAACATACCTACGGGCTATATCAAAAGTCATAATTTTGGCCCCGAAACCTGCCCTTGACTGATACTTAAGGAAACCTATACACAAGTATATATGGTACCTACTCAAAAGTAATCCCTTTATGTTAAACAGGACTTACGGGCAAGTAAGTGGACACAGCTTTGCAGTCTTATTCATGCTGATGTTCCTCAGCTCATGTCAGTGGCTTTTATTTCGTTCCATTGTTTTAATTTTTGGCAATGATACTTTAGCAACCAGCAGGTTATGCAAAAGATGACTCACCAGGGAATATGACTTTTTCAACTCTAGGATCTGACTCAAGGAACTGGGCAACAGCCAATGCATTCTGGAAATGTTGTTTCATGCGGATCGGCAACGTCTTTAAACCCCGGTTGCAAAGGTAGCAGTCAAAAGGAGATGGAACCGCTCCAAGGGCTACAAACCAAAAACAAGAAATCAGATGCTTTCTCTAGTGATTTTGTCATTCCCACAAAGCAATGAATAAAGAGCAAATAAACAAGACAATTCTGAGTTACTAACAAAATATATTCATTTCCTCACAATAAGTATCAATCGGAGCAGAACAGTTAAAGTTTATCTATCTGGTAACAAACAGGAATACTGTGAACCAAGAATGTCAAGGTTAGAGATTCTTGCATGAATCCCAGAGAATGGGATTTAGCTTTGTGAAGTTAGACACTTTTTTATATTGGAATTCTTTTCAAGCAAAGCAGAAAATGGCAATAGTAACAATCGAATACTGTTGATATTCCCACTGCCACTTGCTTAAAACATGTCAAGGCCATGTATGTATATATTCCTCATCCCGATATACCACATTTTTAAAATCCTCACAGAAAAGCTGGATTAGATAGAATAAATACATGGCAGGTCAGTCACTGAACTAAAGGTTAACTCATGAGCTTCGTGCTAGTTTGACCTATGTCTTCCAAAGCCAAGTTCTGGATGCACAACCGAGTAATAATATAACTTCAGTGCTCAATGTAGCAAGGAGTAACAGTTCTACTGATTAACCAGTAATGACAGCAGTTTTAAGAAGTAAAATAAGCTATAACCAAAGAAAAAACAGTGGAGGAGTAAATTACCTTTCACAAATATAGAAAAAAGACACCAAAGACCAACAAAGATTAGAGGGAAGTTAACATCTCTCTCTCTCTCTCTCTCTTATTTTTCCTATCTCTCCTTTGGGGCTTTTCCCCCCTTTCCAATATTAACTTTTATTTTCCTACTATTCTCTTATCTATAATAACAATGTTCTCCCACTTTCAATGCAAAAATTCTATCTTTCTTTCAATTTTATAAAACTTTTAAAATATATATTTTCAGAAAAGAAAAGAAAAGAAAAGAAAAGAAAAGAAAAGAAAAGAAAAAGAAACAATCCATCTATCATTCCTGGTACAAAATGGTGCTGCCCATTGCTTTCTGTACTTGAGAATTTACTATTTATTTTGTTCCAATTATACCTTGTTTACCGCTCCCTTCTCTCTCCTTTTATTAAACCATTAAACACCAAGAAGCATTTTTAAGGCTTCATCCGCCATTTAATGCAGTTGAAACGGCATTATAGGGTCAATGTAGACTCATATAATCCAGTTCAATGCAGTTAAACTGCATTTTGTCCATCTATGTTGACTATCTAATGCAGTTTTAAAATGCATTATATCGCAATGTAAATAGAGTCCATTTGCAATGAAACCTCTGGTTTATGTTGGAAGAGTGATTTAAGTGTTTACATATCTTTACTTTAATAATGATTTATTGGTGCTTTAATATAAGCAGAGAAAGAGAGAGCGCAATCAAACATTGTTTTGAGTTGAGTCCATACTCACCATATTGCAAGAGTCTGAGTCTTTCATGGATACCATCATCGTTTACTGAGACTAATCCCATTACAACATCACTGTGACCTGAAAATGAAATACAGGAGAAAAAAGAGGTCAGCTGTAAGATTAAAAGGCACTTTTTCTAGTTGCTCTTTTTCTTCGAGTTCTACATTATTCCTCTATACTAGCGGTCCTCCAACTTTTAAAGCAGAGGGCTGGTTCATGATCCCTCAGACTGTTTTGGAGGTGGACTAACAGATAGAAGAAAAAAACTGAACAAATTCCTATGCACACTACACATATCTTACTTGTAGTGCCAAAAAACATAAAAGAGCAATACAATACTGAAAATGAAGAACAACTTTGACCAATATAGACTTAACAGTATTTCAATGAGAAGTGTGGGCCTCCAATTGGCTGATGATAGTTAATTGCCAGTTCCATATTTGTCATTGACAGTCATAACAAGTAGTTCAAGTGTGTCAGTTTTTTCCCTTGACATGATTGTTTCCTAGGGATACAAAATAGCTATTACTTCTTGAAGATGTGCACTGGCAGCTATTACGTCAGCTGATATTGTGTAGGCAGCTAGTAACTGAAGGAGAGTAGCGGGCTCTGAGAGGGGCCTGCATCACAATGTCCTCATGGCTCTTTTCGTGGCTCTTTCCTTACTTCCCTCCTTTTCCTTTCTTTCTATATGGCAAGGGTCCCTGCGGCTGCAAGTGAAGGCCATGGGAAAATTGGCTTTGGGGGGGGCGCTTAGTTTGGGAACCTCTGCCCTATTGCTTTGACCAGTGTTTCCCAAAATTTAATCTTCCAGGTGTTTTGGATTTAAACTCCCAGAATTTCTGACTGTTGATCAATCTGGCTGGTACTTCTGGGTGTTGAAATCCAAAACAGCTGGAAGACCAAGGTTTGGGAACCACTGCTTTAGATCATAACATGCAATTTCTTTAGTGTTGCCATCTCCCTAGAACTACTCACTCTGATACTAAATGGATAAGGTTAGTTACTCTGAAATAAAATTATGGAATCTACTATTTGATAGTGTGATTATTAGCCTTTCCCAATCCGGTGCCATCATGATGCTGACTAGTGAAGCTGCCTCACAATGTCCCCTTGGCTCTCTTTGTGGCTCTTTCCTTCATTCCTCATTTTTCACTTAAGTCCTCAGCACATTTAGTGCTTATGCTTCAGATGTGGACATCTGGAAGAGAAAAAGTCTGTGTATATATCTGCACCCTTAGGCTTTCACCATGTTCTAATACTCTGCTTAACTTGGGCCCATATTTTGTCTATTTACAGTAGAACTTTATGTTGATTTACTATGAAGTAGTGTCAGCAAGTGACTCATGTGTCAGTGGGCTATTTAATCTGCTCCAAATAGTCAAAAGTTATTCCCCAGATAGTTCAGTGCCTTGCATGTCTTATTTAAAGTTCAGATTAAAACCTGGAGGAGCTTCACTACCCCATTAATATGGATGGCACCAGTCAGCATGGCTATAAAGCAACTTCCATGACATTTAACAGGGGTTTAGCTCTTCCTGATGAGTGCATTTGGGACTATGCAAAGAAAGGTAAAAAATGAATGATTTCTGAAATGTCTGTAAATAAAAAAAGCATTTCAAAACTCACTAAGGGTTTGTGTTATTTATTAATTCTGTGCAGTATCTTTTTCTTGCAGATGTCAATAATTAATGTGAGGTGGAGAAAGAAGCTCTGTAACTTTAGAGAAGTACTAGACTCCAGTGCGACTCAAAGTAATGGTTCCTGGACTGACACTTGTTCCTGAATTGCTTCTTGGTGAGTTTCCCAAAAAGATAGAAAAAATTGTACCCAATGGGCACAAATATGATGCTGTTCTCGGGGGGGGGGGGGGGATAACTGCCAGTCTCTCATATCAGATCTTCCAAGAAGTACTAATATAGTCACTTTCTATCTTGGATGCTGCTTTACATAAAGATGATTAAGCCCACTGGTAAACAATGTTTAAAACCAAGAGGAAATTCTAAAGCAGTTTGAGATAGGGGAAATGCATACACTTTCTGAAAAACAACAGTCCATCTTAACATAAATTGCAAAATCTTAAGACACTGGGAGCTTTTATTTCAACTCTACACCAATGGGATTTTTAGACTGAGCTAATTCATTTTTCAAATATTTGAACAAGGCTCTCCGCAGGGACCAAAATTAAAATGGAGAAATTTTCCAAAGGAAGCCATTCTTCAATCAGCATATATTTACTCAGAACATGGCCCTACAGCATTATTATAGAAACGTTACCAAAACATGTGCAGAAGTAAAACCAATGTAGAGAGTAATGATTCATGTAGACATTTGTATTGGAAGTCATTATAAAAACTATGCATTTCTTTTCTTTTATCAATGTACATTAACAAAAACAAAAATAATGACCACGGGTGATTCACACAATTATAAAGTGGGTATAAATGTAAAGATGTATAATGAAATAACAAACTCAGAATCACTCAGAGCCATACGATTTCTCATTTTGACACTTGTGAAAGCTAGACAACCAAGACTACAACAAGAAAATGAATTCATTTGAAATGTGATGCTCAAGAAAAGACAAATAAATGACCCTTAAAGAGAATAAAGTTTGAACTTTCATTATAAATGAAGATGATTACACTGAGGCTATTGTACTTTGGGCATAACATGAGATAATATGATTAGTTGGAAAAGACAATAATACTTGATGAAGTAGAAGGCACTAAAAAGAGATGAAGACCAGATGATGATGATGATGATGACGACGACAACTACTACTACTAGTAGTAGATTGATTCAGTGTATGAAACTACAGCCCTGGATTTGCAAGACCTAATAGGCAACTTGGAGGTCTCTCATTCCAAAAAGAAAAGCTGACATAATGGCAAAAAGCAACAAAAACAATCCATGAAAAAAATAAAAACTTGATAGTGAAAAGGAATCACATATTACTAGACACGAATGGGATACGGGCTGCTTGTTAGAATATCATTCTAATAATAAGACCCTAAGATCTTCTGGGGAGGCCTTGCTCTCTATCCCGCCTGCTTCACAGGTGCGGCTGGCGGGGACGAGAGACAGGGCCTTTTCTGTGGTGGCCCCTCGGCTCTGGAACGCCCTTCCCATGGAGGTAAGATCAGCCTCCTCGCTGATGGTATTTCGAAGAAGACTAAAAACTTGGATGTTCAAACAGGCATTTGGTTAACTCGGTGCAATGAATGTGTTGATTACGGATTGGTAATATGGATGATACAATTGGACCACGATTTTAGTTAGGAGATGTATTGGATTGTGATTTTGTGTAATATTGTGTATTATGTTTTTTATGGTTTTAATTGTATACTGTGCACTGCATACTTTGTTGAGTCGCCAGTTAGGCTGAGAAACGGCGGTATACAAGGACAGTAAATAAATAAATAAATAAATAAATAAATACAAATTTCAAAAAGTACTTACCATTCATGTATTTAGTTGCCGAGTACATACAGATGTCTGCTCCTAAAGCTAAAGGTCGCTAAAAAAAAGAAAAAGAAAAAGAAAAACTCAAGTTAGGTAGAAAAGGCTCAATGTATGTTCTGTTGAATGATGAACTAGTTTTCAAAGCACAATTATATACTGTTGAGACCAAGAGTGTCACAGTAATTTCTGCTATACAGAAGTTAAGCTGGAGCCGCTAAGAAAACATCCACAAGTCCCAGTGACATTTTATCAGTCATTGCTCATGCAAACACATAAGCAATGAAAAAACCTTGACTGGAAAAGTGTAAAAAGGGGAAATGAGGGCAAGGTACCATTGCTTTAACTATGCGAATCTTCGTTGCCAGTCTGATGTCTCTACTCTTCACTATTTTATCGAGATTGGACATTGCTCTCCTCCCAAGAAGGAAGCGTCTCCTGATTTCCTGGCTACAGTCTGCGTCTGCAGTGATCTTTGCACCTAGAAATACAAAGTCTGTCACTGCCTCCACGTTTTCTCCCTCTATTTCCCAGTTGTCAATCGTTCTTGTATGAGTACGAAGCCAAAATAGTCTCTCTTATTCATTAGGGCTTGTCCCTGTTGATTTCCAATCAACACGGCTTTCCCCTAGAAATGCTGCGACTGCCGTAGTGATTTTCTTTCTCTCTCTATGCTCTTGGCATGTGGCAATGTGGTTCACTGGACACTGTTTTCTTCTATTATATTGGCTAATCTATTAGGAATGTTTCATCATGCTGGATCAGTTTGGGAGAATGAGCTTGATTATAGGCCCATGCAATTGCCAGAATTCTAATTCCATGGAATTAACACTCTTCCATTTGCCTGCCCTCTTTTCCAAGGGCTGTCTGGGGCTGTCTCAGTGTAGCCCTATGATTAACTATGACATCTTTTCCTGTTTGCAAGTAAGTTAGTAAATTACAGACTCCGTGCTTTATAACTCAAACCCTATGTTTTGGTTGCTAACAATGTAACCCCACGCGTCTTCAGTCAGAGGTAATCTCCACTTTGAGTAATGGGGCTTGCACTCTAATAGGTGTCTAAAATGGAGTCAAAGATTAATATATTTCTATATGCCTTGACATTTAAACAAGCTCTCACTTTTCAAACCCTCCCAGATTTTATTTTAATGGATAACTAAGCAGAGAGTGTTGACTGAGAACAATTTCTGACAATTGAACTACTTAGGCAAAAGGGAGAGGTGGATTGGTTTGGAATCTATATTCTTCTATATTGTATGATCTCCACCAAATACTCATCCGACAGGATGCTCCCAGTTCCATAAGGTCAAAATATAGCAAAGCACTTTGTAAATGTATAGTTTATGTTCCGTAACTGAATGTTTGCCGTATATATGTTGTGAGAACGGTGGAATAGAAATTCTTTAAAAATAATAAATAATAAATAAAGGTTGGTATATAAATTTGAAGCAGTTGCAAAAAAAAAAAAAAAAAAAAAAGACGAGGGACTAGGTGGCTTTTAKAGATTGGAAGTTACTCTGAGTCCCCAAACCATAATATCACTTGGACATTCTGAGAGTTGGTGTCCAAAAAAGCTAATGTTTATAAAATTATCAACATATCAAAATCAAAAAACTACAGTAGGAGATTTGGGGGGGGGGGGGGAGAGAGGTATCAGGAGTGACTTGAGAAACTGCGAGTTGTGTCTAGTGAGAGGGAATTGGCCGTCTGCAAGGATGTTGCCCAGGGGAACCATCCCGTGGGAGGCTTCTCTCATGTGACTGCAAGAGGGGTTGGAGCTGACAGATGSGAGCTCACCCGCTCCCCAGATTTGAACTGCCAACCTTTTGGTCAGCAGTCCTGTCAGCACAAGGGTTTAACCCATTGTGGGGACTCCTATAATAGGACTGATTAAGGCATAATATCTCTCTGTCTCTCCTTACTCCATCACCCAAGAATATCAGCCAAATACTATAGTATAATCATAATGAAGATTCTTTCTCTAGTACAAGATGATTAAAATATTTCCTATACAAGTTACCAGACAACTTTAATTCCCCCCTCCATACACACAAGTGAGTTGAAAGAGATAATAAATTATATGATATAAATACACAGCAAGCATTCCTGATTTGAAGGGAATTTTATTTATATGGATATAAACTTATAAACCAATAGTAATGGGATAGCAATCTAGCCCTAGTAAGGGGGGGGGGGACCGTTTCTTTGAGGTTTGGTGTTTCTCTTTGTCCCATTATGAGTAGGTTATCACAACTACCATCTCTAATTTTGGTCTTTTCCTTCCTCCTGATGAAATTTCCTCCAGAATTCAGGGGGCAAATTATTAAAGGTGTTGGAAGGGCCCACCCACAAAAAGTTTTTGAAAAAAAGAAAATATGCACCATAGGATAATAAGCTTACCTGGAAATATGCAGACATAAAGGTATTATCTACGGCTAAAATAACTCCTTTGTGTTTATGGACAACCTTGGCACACGCTTGAATATCAATAACTTTCAACATTGGATTTGTGGGAGTTTCAATCCAGACAAGCTGTGAGATTAAAAAAATTAAGTTATACAATGACATATATTTCTTTGTGTTTTTTAAAGATATCATCAGCATATATAAAGGCATCATCATATATTCCTGTCTGTCTATATTATATATTGCAAAAAGTACTTCAGGTGGAGCATCCCTTATTCAGAATTCTAAAATACTCAAAAATCTACAATTGTGTATGGGGGTGGCTCAAATAATGAAACCTTTGCTTTCTGATAGTTCAGTATCGACAAACTTTGTTTCATACACAAAATTCTTTAAAATACAGTGTATAAAATTATCTTCAGTCAGTATGTATAAATTGCATATGAAACATAAATGAGTTTTGAGTTCAGAGTTGGGCCTCACATCCATTATGTACTGTATGTATATGCAAATATAGGGATTCTGAAATTTGAAAAAAAAAATCTCAATTCTAAAACCCTCCTGAACCGAAGAGGACTGTTCTTATGCAAAGCGAAACACTCCCTTCCTTTCTATAAAGGTCCAATGACTTGGATTTTTTAAAATGGTCATGCCACTGTTGGTATATGGAGGCAGCAATGGTCACAAAGACGGATGCAGGACTGCATGTTGCACATCTTTGAACTAAACAAATCGCTGTAGAGTCTGCAAAAGGTTAGAACAGGCATGGGCAAACTTCAGCCCGCCTGGTGTTTGGAACTTCAACTCCCACAATTCCTTACAGTCTCAGGCCCTTTCCTTTTTCCCCTCAGCCACTTGAGGCTGTTAGGAATTGTGGGAGTTGAAGTCCAAAACACCTGGTGGACTGAAGTTTGCCCATGCCTGGGTTAGAAGTTCTTCACTGTGCTACATTGGGCCTTACTGAACACAGCTCTGGGTTTCATTTGACACAAGTCTAAAGCTCTCAGTCTAAAATAAGACTAGCTTATTGCAAAGTGCTCTTTAAAGTGGTAAAACCCTCCACTTTGAAAGGTATGTAGTCCTACAGCAAAATACTACAGTAAGTAGAAGGTTGAGAAACATGGAAGCCTTAACAGTGAGTGCCCCAATATTTTTTAAATGGGCAAAAAATTCCATTCAATTAACTCCTCGCTGGGACCTTTAAACTACTGAAATTCTTGCCTAGAATCCTCAGAAAGTTTTGGCAAAGCGCTACAAGAAAATCCCACTGCTCCTTTGAACTCAAGGGCCCTACCTGGCATTATTTGTTCACCAGTTGTATGGGCCTAGCTAAATTTCCAAGCAGCCATGCAAGGACAGGCAGGTTCCAAAAAAATCTAATCAATCCTACTCCCTATTTCTATTATGCTTTACCTAAAAAATAAGAAAGTATTCTGTTTATAACATGTATACTTACTCTAAGAAACAATTTACCAGGTATCTACTCAAGAGATCAGCAATTACAGCTGTCTCATACATAGTCCTTGAATCAAAGGACTATTATAAAATATACATACCATATCATCTTAATCTCTGCCATTGACAGCTGGAACAAACATATTAATTCCCAGCTGTGGCATACCAAGCAAGGTTTGTGGAAGGGAGTCATTCCAAATACATACATTGATGAAAGCACTATTTTATGAGCAACCCCCACCTCACTTTATTACCTTGGTCTGAGGTGTGATTGCAGCATCAAGGCTTTCCAGTTTGGTACAGTCGACAAAAACAGTTTTCAGGCCCATGTCTGATGCCATTTTACTGAAATATCTATTGGTACCTAGGATATGAAGTAACCTCATCTTTATGATCTTCATCATACCATACATTAATTATAGCATCAGAAAGCAAAATGGATACAAGGAGAAACATTTGTTATGCACTTGTTAGAGCAGTGGTTCCCAACCTGTGGTCTGCAAGAACTAAAATCTGGTCCACGGCCTACATCGTTGCAACGAGAGTGACTGGTCTCGCAAAATCCTCTTATAGTGCTGAGGCTTATAAATATGCTTTTCTGTGGGCGAGCAGATGGTGACTACTGGATGGCATATGTTCTGTATCAGAAACTAGAGCTGATGTGGCCTATCCAACACAATTTTCTGAATCAAACCAAATCTAAAGTTGACCAAAAACTGATTCGTAACCCTTTTGGTACTAATGTCAGAGATTGATCCCATGTCAAAGCGGTCCCTGGTTGGGAACTGCTGTATTAGAGTTATATCCTGCCTTTCCTCCAATGTACTCGAAGTGGTATATAGGGCTCTCTTCTTTTTCACGAAAAAGCAAGATAAACTGAAAGGGATGTCCAAAGTTATCCAGTAAAATGTATGGCTTATTGGAGACTTAAACCTGAATTTCCTGGGCTCTAGTCCAACCCTCTTGTCACTATACCACAGTGGCTCTCATTTTACCCTTTTGGAATTTGTTATGTAAAATACGTGATGGTCAGCTACAGCTATATCTTGATGGTAAACTGACATTTGCACTGGCAGGAAATGAATGAAGCTTCTACAGATCATATTTCTATGTAAACAGAACATCGTATTTTAAAGCTCACTCATAATATTTGTTCATTAAAATATCTGAATCTTTGGTATAAAAATGTTGGGGAAATCAGGTTTACCTAACATACAAGAAAGTCCTAAAATTAGAAAGACCAGAAACAAAGGTTTGAGAAGTAACTACAGTTCAGTGGACTGAGAACCTGCTTTAGCCTGAAGAAAGTCAATGTTTGGACACTTTCCCTTCTATTTTGTTTAGCACTGCAATTTGCATCTTTACAATTTCATCAGACAAATATTATAGATTTAAATAAACACTGGCTTGACAAACAACAAATTCTGAGTGCTAAACAAGCATTATGAAAATAGATATTTGGTTTGAGACCTAAAGTTTATACATAGGTCCTAAAGAGGTGACACTGAATTTTGAGACAATTTCTTTAAAATAGCGTGAACAATAATGTATATAAAAGTAATAATAAATATTACTATTACCGTACATACTTGAGTATGCCAAGTTTTTCAGCCCCCTTTTAAGGCTGAAAAGGCCCCCCTCGGCTTATACTCGAATCAAGGTTATTTATTATTTTACTCTTTTTAACATCATCATCATCATTATTATTATTGCATTTCCATTATTTTACTATATTATTATATTTATTATTTTCTCTTTATTATTTTTATTATTACAGTTATTATTTTACTCTATTATTACATTTCCATTATTTTACCCTATTATTATTTTAATTACATTATTTTATTCTATTATTATTGGAAGAATACATAAGCACATTTACATTAAAGAAGGCCAGAATAATTGTTTAATCAGAGTTGGAGAGTTTTATCTTAAATTACAGTTTAATGTAAATATTCAATATAATTTAACCTACTGATGACTGAATTAATGTAATTTTATTGGTATCTAATTTTATTTTGAAATTTGCCAATAGCTGCTGCATTTCCCACTCTCATCTTATACTCGAGTCAATACATTTTCCCAGTTTTTTGTGGTACAATTAGGTGCCTCGGCTTATATTTGGGTCGGCTTATACTTGAGTATAAATAGTATTTAACGATGATGCGCATCATCTTCGATACATAAATTTATGTGAGGAAAACTCAATCCTACAATATGTTGCAGAAGAATTTAAAAAATAGATCAAAGGCTCTTGTGTGAATGCACACACAAACTGTTGCTCCGTTTGAACTGAAGTAACAGTGTTCTGAGAAACACCACATCACTACTAGTATTTTTGTCCCCATTAAAAAGGGAACAGTTGGCTGGTGGCACACAGTCACGTCCTCCTTGCTTTTGTGGAAAACATGTTTTCCTCTTTTCACATGAAGGCAGTCACATTAGTACATGTTACTTGGATGCCCCAGCCGGCAGCTACAGTAAACGGATACCTATTTTGCCAATCACTAAAGCCACCTTTGGCTGCTGTCCCAGAAAAAGCAGAAAAGTGAGCAGTACAGAGATACATGGAAAGAGAGCAGCTTCTTCTTCAAGAGAAATAACACATAAAATGTCTGCAATTTTGAATTATTTATTGCATATGGAGTATGTGTTTAGTTCAACAAAATAAAAGCTTTTGTGAAAATATATCTTTTAACCAGCTCTTGGTCTATTCTGAACCATTACTGACATTGCGGTAAATTTATAAAATGAAGTTGGGATTCAGGACATAGTTTCATAGTGGATGACCCCCTAGGCCCCTTCACACAGCTGAATAAAATCCCATATTTTCTGTAGAAGTTGTTCACTTCAAAAGAGTTCACTATTATCTATTGTTTCCCGTTTTCATGGTAACTTTGGGAATGTATGCTGAAAATACATGGGTTGCACTATATTAGTTTGGAAGTATAGGGATGTATCAATTTCTGTGTGTCACTAAGGACCCTTTCACATAGCTTAATAAAATCTCACATTTTCTGCTTTGACCTGGAATATATGGCAGTGTGGACTCAGATAACCCAGTTCAATGCAGATACTGTGGGATTTTCTGCCTTGTTATTCTGGGTTATATGGCTGTGTGGTAGGGCCCACAATCAATTCTTAGAAATTCTCTCCCTTTCTTGCTTAACATTCCAATTCCCTGACCTTTTGTGTAGCATTTTTTAGTGGTTATTCAGGTGAGACTATTCAGCAAGGGAGGGCAGATAATTTGCTTCTACTACACCAGAACATGTATCCAGCCCAGTAGTTATTCCATTTCCAATGGAACCAAGTCACTTCAATTATATATTACTTGTGATAAAATGGAATGCATCTTGCAAAAATAGCACTAATTCCTTAACTCACTAAGGCCCCTTTCTCACAGCCCCTATATCTCAGGATCTGCTCCCAGATTATCTTCTTATCCCAGATTACCTGGTAGTGGAGACTCATATAATCCAGTTCAAAGCATATAAACTGGGATCAGATCCTAGGTTATAGGGGCAGTGTAGAAGGGGCCTAAGAGAGGATCTAGAGTAGCAACCTCTAGAACAGGAGCAGACACTGGATATTCCTGGACTGCAAGCCCCAGCAATCCAAGTCAGCACAGCCAACGACAAAAAATGTTGGAAGCTACAGTCCAACAACATCTGGATTCTTTAGGAACAGAACAGTGAAACTACAGCTTTCTATGGCTCAAGGAGGCTGTGGCACAAAACCAAATGGCAAACATTCTCAACTATATTATGGGGTGCAAAAAGTGTGGTTTGCTGCCCTCCCAGATCCACTCATGAGCAAATGTAGTCACCTGCCCCAACATTAACAGTTTCCCATTCTTGATCTAAGGACTTGGTAATAGTCTCAAAAACTATTCCAGAGAAGGTACATTCAGTGTGTGTGTGTGCAAATAAGTAAAGTTACATATTGTATGAGGAAAGACCAATGTCTATACATAAGCCATTAATGCACCTGGGGAATTGTATCGGAATCTATTGAAGGGTTAATAATTGTAACTTTTTGTAGTAAATAAGCTCTTTTTGAAAGGGGAAATTGAGAAATTAGCCTTACCGACATAGAACTTATTCACAACTATAGGAACAACAGTTGGTGAGTCATAACTGGATGTGTCAACTATCTTACCATAAAAATGAGACACCTACAGTATCTAATCTGATGGAACTGTTGACTTTGAAGTTATCCTCAACAGTTAACATACATTTGTAAACTCAGGTCAAATATATGTTTATATGCCTTCTGGGTTACAACTCAGATTACATCCTGGACATTTAAAGCTTCCTAAGCAGAAGAATACCACCCACCTCCATAGACATCGTCTGTACAAACAATAGTATCTCCTGCCTTTAGTAGATGTGCAATGTTCAGGGTAGCTGCTAATCCAGAAGCGTATGCTAAACCTTAAAGAAAAAACAGAAGAAACATAAAACAAACTTGATAAATTGAACAAATGGACTCTTCTCTACATTTCAGCAAACACAAAGAAGGGCATAACCCTGCCTTATTTGAAAATTGCCCTGTTTACAAGACACAGTTTGCTGTGAAGGGATTAGATTAGGAGTGTCAAAAATTAACCTAGTGTCTAGAAGCAAATGGGTTTGTCTTGAAGCACAAATTATGCCCAATCCCAACAGCACTATATTGTGAATGTACACACATTTAAAGTATATGAACACTTCCAAAAATGAAGTATTTCATACTTGAAAATTTGTGATAATAAATGGATTAATGTCAGGGGGTGCACCTACATTGAAGAATTAATGCAGTTTGACACCACCTTAGCGGCCAAGACTCAATTCTACAGAATCACGGGAGCTGCAGTTTCAGAAGGTCTACAGCATTGGTTCCTAACCTTTTTTTTTTACCAGGGATTCCTTGACCAGGGACCATTTTGACCAGGGTCCATTCTCCAACATGAATACCAAAAGGGTAACGAATCAGGTTTTCGTCAACTTTAGATTCGGTTTGGTTATTTGGGGTGCTGATTCAGAAAATTACATTGGATAGACCACATCAGCTCTAGTATCTGATAAAGAATATATGCATCCTGTAATCTCCATCTGCTCCCCATAAAAAAACATATTTAATAATTTAGAGCTGATGTGGTAGCAAGTAATCTTTCTTTCCCGACATCCCTGTTGCCTTGGTACTATAAGAGAGTTTAACGAGACCAGTCGCTCTCATTGCCATATGGTTTTGAGGCAATGATGTAGTAATGGTGAGGCTGCAAACCATAGTTTCTTTCTTGTGGACCACTGGGGGTCCTTGGACCACAGGTTGGGAACCACTGGTCTATAGCTTTCTCTGCCAAAGAAGTGCTGGCATCTCAGGAAACTACAACTCCTCCGATTCCATAACCTTGAGCCATGGCAGCTAAGGTGGTGTCAAACTGCATTAATTCTACAATGCAGAAGCACCCGAGGACAAAAAAAAATCTAATTAGTTATAACACAAAACAAAACAAAATCATGTAGTTGTATCATGGTGTAGCGTTAAACAAAGATTAATCATGGATTTCAATTACTGCTGGTTTTTTTCTAAGCAACTGTGTTTTCAGATTGTGTAGTCAATGGTAGATATAGACAACTTACAATATTTGGCTCCATCCAGTGCTGCCACAGCTTTTTCTAAGCAATCACGAGTTGGATTTCCACAACGACTATATTCAAAGCCCTATGAAAGAGACAAAAATAAATATTGAATCATCCATGACAATAGTAGATTGGAGCCCTAGAATAAATACAGAAATTTACTAGTTTTGATTTTAAAAAAGTAATTCTACTACCTGGCGTAAAATTAAGATTCCTGAAATGTGTTTCATGTTTGTGGAAAATGTTTTATCTTGAATATACGCAATTGCCATTCATTTTGCATTGTTACCTACATAGCATGAGAACCCAAGTCATGAAATAAAATAATTATTGCAAAGTAAAAGTCCTTTATGCCAGTGGATTCACTAGGAACAAAGCAACATTATGTATATGTCAAGATATCAAGTGTTGCCTGGGGATGACAACTATACAACATGAGTGACTGGACAAGTTTTCCCCAGGCCTTCATTTCCATATTACTTAAGAGGTAGTTAGAAAACATAATAAGGAAGGGAGAATTTTCCTTCTTCCGAGATCAAGAGAGCGTGACACAAAAAGGACCCAGGTTCAGACTGCCTGGTATAAAAGGAACATTGCCAGGATCAAGAGAACAAATACTGGGATTAAATAGATCAGAAAGAATAAAGACTCGGAAGAGACAGAGATTCACACAAGAGTTACTCAGTTAGTTTGTCTGATTACCCAGAAAGTAAAATATACTGGTAACAGCTAAGAGGCAATCCAAACCATTGTCTCTAAGAGTTCCGGTCCAACATTCAAAGCACTATGCTAGCTTCTAAATTTCCCTCCCTTTAGTCCAGGTGCCAATTCTCTGCCTGAGATATTCCGTCATAGGGACTGTCAAAAAATGGTGAACCTCTACACTGCCATATAATCTAGTTCAAAGCAAATATATAGATTTGGTGTATATCCAGCCTTAGTCTACCATGAAAGAGGATCCCAAATATCCTAAGAGTTGTGGTTTGCAATCTTTTCTTTACCTTGGCCCCCCTTTATCTTTGTTGCCATGGAGCATCAAAACTTCACTCAAGATTTAAAACCCTAAAGTGCATGTAATTTATTTAAAGTTGCTCAACAAGTGGTTTCAAATTTGAAGAAGAGAGGAATAAGTAAATGAATACGCTCCTATTATAATTCAGTCAGCTTTCCGTATGTGTGGATTTGATTAAAATATTCTCTCTATGAATTTCTAGGTCCTTCAGAAATCACGTCAGAAGACCTAAATTCCTAGAAAAACACATCTCTAGGAATCTCTCAGGTCTCTAGTACAACTCTATTGTCAATTTCCAAAAGAAATTGACCTCAGAGTTACACAAAAGGACACAGAGCAGTGGTTCTCAACCTGTGGGTCCCCAGATGTTTTGGCCTACAGCTCCCAGAAATCCCAGCCAGTTTACCAGCTGTTAGGATTTATGGGAGTTGAAGGCCAAAATATCTGGGGACCCAGAAGTTGAGAACCACTGACATAGAAGTTCCTAGAGAGGTGTTCTCCCAGGTTAAAACAGTGTTTGTATTCATGTTTTTCTACTTCTGTGAGGGTCTAGTGCTCTTATGCAAATTTGAAAAACTAACTGTAATTGTATTTAATTTTTAATTTACGGCATTTATATGCTGCACTCTCACCCCGAAGGGGACTCAGAGCAGTTTACAAGATATATATACATACAATATATCATATTATTAGCATAGAACAATATCAGTATTATTATTCTATTGTGTGTGTGTGTGTGTGTATGTATATATATATATATATACACACACACATCATAATCATCATAATACATGAACACCAATCCATGGCCTAATATTACTTGTTAATTTTAATTAATTAATGAACTAATGAGAGAGATGGTGCTACATTTCATTACAAGTCTTGCCATATCAGTCTTAATAGCTGAAACCTGTATTGTCCACAGGAGGAGGTATGTGAACTGTAATGTCAAACTGTAACGCAGTCAAAATAATAACTTCATTCAATGCAAAACAAAAAGTCAGTGCATAGCCAGGTTGCTTTTTGGCCCATGAAATCTATTGCTGCAAACATTACAAAGATCTCTTGACATACACACCTGTGCTGCTTTGTTGCATCAAAGCCTAGTGCACCTTAACAGGTTTAATTATTTGCACATTTCAACAGAACTGATGCAAAACTAACAAATTAGGGATCACAGCCAATTAGCCTTGGGGCATCAAAAGAAGGCCTCACCTTTCTTTTGGAACAAGATATCCTGTACACATTGTCTAATAAAACATGACATGGGGGAAAAAGAACCCTTCTAGTTTTATATCTTAAGTATACCTGCCAGGATAAAGTCTCACTTATAAACAAGTAAAATATTAAGTACCTTATTGAACATTAACAGAAAAAAGAACAGTTTGACACTATCACTGCAAAACAGACAGTTTTTTGTGGCACTATAAAGGCAACAGATATATTGCAGGTTTTACTGAACGCTTTATTAAACATGAAGCCTCATGACATTTTATACACTGGTGCTTTTTCCAATTTAAACTCTGGAATGAATCATACAATGCTTTGGAAAGCTGCCCTGTGGCATATGCAAGTTTCCTATTTTGTTGCATCATGCAGTGGACAAGGTAGGAAGGCAAGTTTTTTGTTTCCTGCCCCTTCAAATCTGCTGAGTTGAAATGACTGAGCACTTCCTTGTAACTTTCGAGTTACTCAAATCTATGACGACAATCCAGGAATTGAACACTGAATGCTTTAAACTTAGACGCATACAAACCCTGTTAGAAATAGAGATAACTTTAATTTGTACAAACAAAAAACCAGGAGTTGAAAAACACATATATAAATAACATGCATATCTTTCATATCCAGATTTAAAATGGGATCTAAGGAAGAAAATAAAGGGCATAAAATTACGGGCACAGTGGAGTTAACAATGGAATAGCTGAAATGTGAGATTTTAAGTAATGTAAGTCAACTAGAAAATGCAGAATGTAACTTCCCAAATAATGGCTCTTCACTAATCATGTCGTGAGCTGCTCCGGCTATATTAACAATGTTCAGTAACCCCCATGTGAAAACCTAGCATTGAAAGCTAGTGCTAGAGTACATATACCATATATAATGGACAGTTATTAATATATTTTAAAATATATTCATGACCGTAGTACAACCATTGTATCCAAAGAGGTATGTTCCGGGATAACTTGTGGATATCTGAAGTATAGAATAGCAGACCCTTTATTTTAACTATACTTGCATCAGAAGGCCCACAAATACTTTCAAGGAGAAATATTTTGGGAGTGTGGGCAATTGAAATTGTGGATATCGAATCCATGCATAAAGGGGATTGCACTGCATAAAGAGATCAACTCATACAAGGGCCATCACATGTGTATTACAGTAGTCCCGCTTATCCGACCTTTGCTTATCCAACATTTTGTTTTATCCAGCGCTTTTATCCGACACCCCCTTTTCCTCCAGAATTTCCCTTTCAATTGAAGGAGCGCTCCCAACTCTCTCTCCATTCCCAATAAGTGAAAAAGGGAGAAAATGAGGGAAAGAGGCAGAACCGAAAGTGGAAAGAAATGTCCTCCCTACATCCCTCTGTGATTTCAATGCCCCTCTTCCACATCTGGGCACTTCCTGCTGGGCTGCTCTAGCCCTGAGCCTTGCCTTAACCCTTTGAGTCCCTGTTGTTAGTATTCTAGGTGTCTAGCGCCACGTCAGATGAGTAACAGTAGAAGACTCTGTATTATCCAACATTTTCGTTTATCCGACAGTCTGCCACCCCATTTATGTTGAATAAACGAGACTCTACTGTATTTCAAATCCACACCAAAACTACCAAATGAGCTAAAAAATTGTGGGGGGTGCGGGGGGTCGGGTCTTAACGGGAGAAGGGGAATTTTGAAATAAAAAACAGATTGGAGGAAGAACAAATTCAGAATTTGAATACAAAGGAAGAAAAGAAATCTGAAGCAACACTATAGCCTTTTAATATATTGTGCCACATGGCAGAGACTTTTCACATTACAAAATTATAGTGCTATGATTCCACTTTAACTGCCATTGCAACATTCAATGGAATCTAGGAAATTATAGTTTAGGAAAGGCGTATTTACAATGCACAGCCAGAGGGCTCTAGAGCCTCATCTAACTACAAATCCCAGGACGCGACAGGCAGAGAGCATGGCAGTTAAAGTAGAATCGTAGCATCTGTGTGTAAATTGTTCTTTTTTTAAAATGATAGGACGGACAATAGGAGGAATACAAAAATTAGGGACAAACACCATCTGGATTTCCTGAAATACTAACCAGTGAAAGCCCACCCCAGCAATCATTACTAATAGGCAAATGACATCTGGGCTTTCAAACTGGTACATTACAGGAAGACTGTTTCTTTGCTTCCTTGTAGGATATCAGTCCATCTCTCACATTCCTAAATGACTTCCTGCATTCATGAGTCTTCAAGTTAACTGTTGCTGTGGAGGTATGTTTGAGATCCAAGTATGCGAGTAACTGTGTCTTCAAGTCACGTGTGACTTATGGTGACTCCATAAATTTAATAGGATTTTCTTAGGCAGTTTTACCAGTTCCTTCCTCTGAGATTGGTACCTATTGATCTACTCACATTTGCATGTTTCTGAACTGCTAGGTTGGCAGAAGCTGGAGCTAACAGTGGGAGCTCATGCCACTCCACAGATTCAAACCTGCGACCTTTCAATTGACAAGTTCAGCAACTCGGCGATTTAACCCACTGCGCCACTGGGGGCTCCAATGTGCATATATATGTGTCTCTGTGTGTTAAATAACAATAATCTATATAAATAAAAATGTAATGTTCATTTGTGGGATTAACATAACTCAAAAACCACTGGACGAATTGACACAAAATATGGACACCAATACACCTATCAGGCCAATGAGTGACCATCACTCATAAAAACACTGAAAAACAAAGCGGAAGGGACTTAAGAAGCCAAAAAAGCAAAGAGACGCTATAGTGCATGCGCAAAACGACTCCCTGGCAAACAAAACACACAATAGCATATCCACACTCCCTTCCAGACTACAGCTCCCAGCATCCCCTAGACCAGGCCCTTTAGGAGAGGAGGATGATTCAAATGCACTGCTTCCAAGCTGCAAGCTTCCTTCTCCTTGGATCTCTTTGAGAGCATCCCAATCCCTGCATATTTCCAATTTCCTATTCCTGGACTGCAACTCCCAGCGGTTCTCAACCTGGGGTCCCCAGATGTTTTTGGCCTTCAACTCCCAGAAATCCTAACAGCTGGTAAACTGACTGGGATTTCTGTGAGTTGTAGGCAAAAAACATATGGGGACCCCAGGTTGAGAACCACTGCTCCAGATAGATAGATTAGATAGAGGTAGATAGGTAGGTAGGTAGATAGATTGATGAGGAGGACTGTTGGGAGTTGCAGTCCATAAATACGTAGTGAAGGAATAAAGGGGAGAAGGGGGGAGGGAAAGGAAAGAGGGGAGGAAGGGAAGAGGAAGAGAAGGAAGGAGAGAAGGAAAAAAGGGAAGGACGGGAAAGAAAGAGGGAAGGAGAGAAAGGAGGAGAAGAAGAGGGAGGAAAGGTTGGCCACAGCAACGCGTGGCGGGTACGGCTAATACATCATATAATAATAGTAAGTAAATAAATTAGTACACAGAGGCTATACCAGGCATGGGCAAACTTGGGCCCTCCAGATGGACTTCAACTCCCATAATTCCTAACGGCCTCGGGCCCCTTCCTTTTCCCCTTCAGTCACTTAAGCGTTGGGAATTGTGGGAGCTGAAGTCCAAAACACCTGGAGGGCCCAAGAAGGCCCATGCCTGGTATACAGATGGGCACCTCCTGTGTCCCCAACCCCTCCCCCCCCCCCCAAAGAAGAGGGACTCACGCTGTGCTGGCCGGGCGCGTGCTGCTTGAAGGTGGTGGAGAGCGAGATGGGGGGCACCACGGCCAGGGACTTCCATTGCTCGGGCTCCTGCCCCGCGTGGATGGCCTGCGTGGCGAAGTTCTTGAAGGGCGGCAGGAAGCCGGCGAGCTTGTCCTTCCCCTTCTCCATGGGAGGATGGGCGAGGGAGTATGGCAAGAGAGAGAGAGATCAGAGAGAGAGATCGGGGAGAGAGAAGGCACAGGTGCCGGCCGAAGGAGGAAGAAGGCACAAGAGAAGAGAGGCGCCTGGCGCAAGCCGAGTGACTCCTGGGCCGGTGAGTGTCGCCGTGCCTTAAGGGCTGGGAAGCCCCGCCCACGCGGCCCGAGGGAGGAGAGCCCCGCCGCCCAATCCGGGCCCAGAGCCGCCCGGTCAGGCCTCCCATTGGCCCGGAGCCAGGCGCGTGGCTCTCTCCGTGTCCCGAAAGGGGTCGAGAGACTGGAACAACAAAAAGAGGAAGGTGACGTCGGGTCTTGGAGGAAGCCCGCCCCCCGCGCCCCTTGTCCTCTTGACCCTGCCCTCCCTCCCTCTTGCTGCCTCCTCTTGCTTCTGAACTAGAGCCTAAACAAGCCTCCCCCCCCCCCTTTGGACCACTGCGCTCTTAACTTGCCAGCCAACCTCCCCACTCTAGACACAACATCCTCCCTGCGGCTCTAATTCATTCATTATCCAATGCTTATAATAATAATAATCAATAATCAGAAACTTCTCAAAGCACAGCAGACAAAGAACCAGTACAGGAAAACTGCACTACAAACCAGAGCTGACTGCTGGCACAACAAAGCATTGCATGGGCAGTTCCTTGATAAAATTGAAGGAAAATGGGTTGTTGTAGGTTTTTCGGGCTATATGGCCATGGTCTAGAGGCATTCTCTCCTGACGTTTCGCCTGCATCTATGGCAAGCATCCTCAGAGGTAGTGAGGTCTGTTGGAAGTAGGAAAAATGGGTTTATATATCTGTGGAATGACCAGGGTGAGACAAAGGACTTTTGTCTGCTGGTGCTAGGTGTGAATGTTTCAACTGATCACCTTGATTAGCATTCAATGGCTTGGAAGTGCCTGGGGGGAATCTTTTGTTGAGAGTGATTTTATGTGCCTGTTTGTTTCCCCTCTGTTGTTTTGCTGTTGTAATTTGAGTTTTTTAATACTGGTAGCCAGATTTTGTTCACTTTCATGGTTTCTTCCTTTCTGTTGAAATTGTCCACATGCTTGTGGATTTCAATGGCTTCTCTGTGTAGTCTGACATGGTGGTTGTGAGAGTGGTCCAGCACTTCTGTGTTCTCAAATAATATGCTGTGTCCAGGTTGGTTCATCAGGTGCTCTGCTATGGCTGATTTCTCTGGTTGGAGTAGTTTGCAGTGCCTTTCATGTTCCTTGATGCGTGTCTGGGCGCTGCGTTTGGTGGTCCCTATGTAGACTTGTCCACAGCCTCTGGATGGGATTAATCAAAACATGAAGACAATGCTTTTAAAGGAACAGGTCTAAATCAACGCTACTCATTGCCCCCAAATGCATCAACACTGAAGATTTAATGCAGTTCGATCCCACTTTAACTGCCAGAGTTTAAGGCTATGGGATCCTGGGAGTTGCATTTTGGAACTGGGATTCTGGCAGGGAAAAGCTATAGAACTTGTCAATATTTCATATTACTGAGCCTTGGTGGGTCAAGTGGTGTCAAACTACATTAATTCTGCACTGTAGATGCACCCTGATATGAGTTTTCTAGACTAATGGGCTCCTCCTATGATAGTTTCCTCTGGCAAACCGTGCTATAATCTATGAAAGTTGCATGCTTTTATTCACGTATTCTGCTCCATTGTTGAGGTTTTACAGGAGTCCCACATACCAGTAACCATGGGTGCATCTACACTGAGATTGAATAGATGCTAGTGCTAATGCTTTGCCAAACTGCAACTCCTAGGATTCCACAGCATTGTGTATTGGCAGTTCAAGTGGTAAGAAACTACATTTATTCTACAGTGTGGCTGCACCCTCAGGGTTGCTAGCTGCCCTTCTACTCACCTCTTTTTTAAACATTGAAAAGAATAATATAGTACTGTATTCATTATGAAAATTGCCACAGAGGTGAGTGCTGAACTTCGGTCTTATCAGATGGCTGATTAAATATACAGCTTGGGGCGCTTCTGGATCAACCTTTGCTTTCGTAAACGCAACCAAGTCCATTTGGCAGGTAAACAAGTTCATTACGAAATGCGAAGTGCTGAATATATGTTAGAATTACATCTAATGTCTACAAAATGGTATTCAAGACGGCAATTTGTTGGCCTAGGGAACATGTAGACTCTCATTTTAAATCACTCTGAAAAAAAGGTTTTGTATCTTTTCTTCTGTACTAAAAATAAACTGTCAGCCATTGGGATGAGCTAGCCAACAAGGAATTTAGGAAGCAGGAAAGAAGAGCCAGTCTATGGCCATAATTTGAAAATACTGGCATAAAAGCAGGACATGAGTAACTTTTTGTTTCATCAGCTTGTGCTCACAAGAAAACACCAGTTTGAATTTTCTGATAATGACCAATACCTGCTGAGGATCACAGATTCCTCCTATAAAGGGTTTTCTGTATTTTCTGGGGCTACTAATGCCTTTTGACTGGTAACACAATGCACTGTCAGTCTTGAATAACTTTTATCCTAGTCATAAAGGATATGCATGGGTAAAAATAACCTCCTAAACACACACAAAAACCCTTAGTGAATGGAGACAAAATGACAGGATGAATGTTGAGGCAAAGAGCACCAGAAAGATATAAGGACAAAACATTTTACCGATATCAGAATCAATGTGTTGTCGGAGGCTTTCATGGCCAGAATCACTGAGTTGTTGTGAGTTTTCTGGGCTATATAGCCATGTTCCAGAAGTATTCTCTGCTGACGTTTTGCCCACATCTATGGCAGGCATCCTCGGAGGTTGTGAGGTCTGTTAGAAACTAGGCAAGCTTCAGCCAGGCTTTGAAGCTGCAAGGCCATTCAGTGCTAATTAAGGTGGCCAACTGCAACATCACACTTGCCTCAAGCAGACTAGTGTTCTTTCTCCCATTCTGGAGATTCCACAGATATATAAAACTCACTTGCCTAGTTTCCAACAAACCTTACAATCTCTGAGGATGCCTGCCATAGATGTGGGTGAAACGTCAGGATAGAATACTTCTAGAACATGGCCATACAGCCCAGAAAACTCACAGCAACCCATATCAGAATCATTAATCTCATTCTACAATATTAGAACTCTTAGGAAATGCAATCCAGCATCACTATTTATTGGTTTCTTTCACTTCTTAAAATAGTCTTTTATAAGCTAGGTATAGCATTGTGTATTTAAACACTTAATTAAAGTTACACTAACAAGTATATTCTTGAATAGCTCTATTTAGGAAACCTACTTTCAGAAATTAGCTCAAAAAACAGCTGACATCCATGATATAGGTGGACCATATCAATTGAATGTGACAAGAAGGTGTTTCTCGACCACAAACATCTCGACTAATAAAGTTATCCCTTCCTAGATTTATGCACCTTTTAAGCAATAAATAAAAATAAAAATGTGTATTCCTCTTGGATGATGTTCTGCTTCCAAAATTTGGTTTTTCCCCCTTTCCCCTTTTTTCACAACCTATATAAATGAAATGCTTTTTTCCTGTGCAAAAATATATATTGTGGGAATGTTAAAACAAAGAAAGCATTTCTGAAAGAATTGGACTGAAGCTGTTTTTTTTTAAAAAAAACTGAATTGTGCATCTCCTTTAGTTAACAGTTTATGTATGTTGCGCAATATAATATAACTGCATAATTTGATCAACTATTACCAAATGTTATCTCAGACCTTGAACTATAGTTGGCAATTAACATTAGATTTGCGGTCAAAAAAGTCACTGAATAGTGGATTTCCAGACACCTGTATTTCTGTATCATGATCTGAGCCATAGGGAGAGGCGGGTAATAAATTGTTTACACACATTTTATCCTTCCATTTCACTCAAGCATTTTCCCAGATGTAACAAACATTAACAATGATAAATAGCAGAACAATTCTACCTATAGTATACTAGCATTCAATGGCATTCAGTCAGGAAAAGAAAATTCTCCTACCTTATTTTTTCACCATGAATAGAAGTTCTATTTGCAGAAATCAGCATGATAATTTTTAAACATTATCAATTGCTCTCAAAGGTATACAAGGGTAAGGCAGTAAAAAAGTTGGCATACACTACTAACAAGGCTGTAAAGGTAAACAAGCCTAAGCATAATTATTTAGAAGTAGATTTCCTTGACAATAGAACAATAGAACATTGACAACAATAGAACATAAGTGCATGGCAAGCAGTGTGCAAAAAGATCTGCACAGAGATATTTTAAATAGGTTTTCTATGAAGTACCTTTCCTGACTAAAGTGGGACTTAAATGTAGGAAAGGAAACATTCCAGTTGCATTGCCCTATTCTGTCTACAGGAACTGCAAAGCCACACCTATGGACCATCTATTGGAATACATATGTTATATCCACTCCACCTGAGCAGATGTGGATTTCCTACTTTGAACATGGGATGTTGGTGGTCAGAAATGGATGAAATGTCTCCAGGGAATTTAGTCCAGGATTTATTCTACTTAAGTAGTCATTTCCCTAAAGCCACCAAAGGAACCCCAATGACACCACACTTTGATTGCAAGGAAATATCTCTAAGTTTCCATGATCAATACTCAAGCCAGGTTTTTATTCATGCAATTGACTATACCTTAAATTGATGTGTTAATGGAATGGACAGTCCCTAAGGACATTCTTAAACCAAAATGTATCAATAAGTTTTGGGGCCAGATCAACAACTCCATCACTCCCGCAGGAGCTATTTGTACCTAAAAGTTCCTGGGATGAAACAATGCCCATAGAGAATTTTCAATCTCAACTAAAAAAAAGAAGCCAAAAGCCAAAGAGAGGACATGTTCGGAAAGGCCCACTAATGGTTGCCATTAATTCATGATCTTTTCCTCTATTAAGGCTTCTCCGTGGCTTGATGAATCTGGATCAGGCTTGGCACACGCATCCTTCATTACCCAACTTAAAACAATTGAGGGGTCTGAACTAAAAAAAAACAAAAAAACAACCCATTTGGGCCAAGCACAAAGGTAAAGTAAAGGAACAAAGAGGATTGGCTGTGGCTAGGTGAAGTAACTCTCTATCCTGTGAATGGAAAAGAAAAGGAATGAATTAGATTGGCAGTTGTATGAGGGAGGGAGGGAGAAAATAAGAAAAGAGAAAAAGTAGGAAAAGGAAGTGAGGGAGGAGGGAAGGAAGAGAAAAAGCAAAGGA